CTCTCGACCATTGCCAGTAGTCTATTGTGGAGGTATCTTTGTGGATTTCTGTGGACCTCTCTAGCACTTTGCTTCTTCCTATTCTCATGTGGTCTTCCTTTATCGTGGTCTCTTATTTGGAACCTGGGGCTTATACAGGGACACTTGGCCCAGCCTGGGAGGAGGGGACTGGACCTGCCTGGACTGAATCTACCAAGTTGAACTCAATCCTCAGGGGAGTCTTTGCCATGGAGGAGACGGGAATGGGGGGTGGACTGGGGGAAGGCGGGGGGTGGGGGGGGCGGGAGGGGGGAGAAGAAGGAAATCCGTGGCTGATATGTAAAATTAAATTAAATTATAAAATAAAATTTAAAGAAAAGAAAAGAAACTGGTTGCAAGTTTGCAAAAGTGAGCTTCAGAGAGTTCTGTGCTCTGTCCCAAGGTAGAAACCAGAGACAGTTGGACTCAGAGTAGAACGCTATAAACATGTTTATATTTTCCTGAAAATTTTTGTTATATAATATTGTGTGTGTGTGTGTGTGTGTGTGTGTGTGTGTGTGTGTGTGTGTGTGCGCGCGCGCGCATGAGCGCACAGGCTTACTGTGGAACATTTCTGCAAATAAGGAAGCACTTTCAGGAGTCATTTCTGTCTCCCCCCAATAGGGGCTCTTGTTATTGGACTCACTTTGCCAAGTACGAGCCTTTACAAACTGAACTATTTCACCAACCCCCTTTTCTACCTTTCTACACCTCGTGTCACTGATCAAATATGGTTTTACCTCTGAGCATCTGATAGGATGAGGCCAAAGGTGATGCTCAGCATCTGAAAGGCTCAAAAGCAGCTCTCATCCCTGGAACCACGATGCTGCTAGGCCCATTCAGATTTGGGAGTCTTGTAGAGCTGCCCAGGGCTGTGGTACCAGTGGCCCCAAGCTGCTGACAATGACCACATCTGGGTACACAGTCCTGCAGCAGCTGAGGTCTGTGTGGATGTCCATTGCCCATGAAAACCATGTGTTGAACCATGTGTTGAAGTATGAGGGCCCTTCTGTGCTGGTACCACCCCTCACTGGCCTGGAGTGACCTATCCCCCCCCCCCCCCACACACACACGAGAGCTGATGCTGAACCTTCCTGGCTCTGGAATAATGGACCCTGATTACTCCGGCACAAGAAAGCTGGTCTCGCCCCCTAATAAGACAGCCTAATAAGACACCTGTTGCTAGAGTTTTCCTGCCTGGCCCACAGTCAGGACAAATCTCTCTCACCTGCCAGTCCCACAGCCACTCAGACCCAACCAAGTAAACACAGAGACTTGTATTGGTTACAAACTGTATGGCCGTGGCAGGCTTCTTGCTAACTGTTCTTACAGCTTAAATTAATCCATTTCTATAAATCTATGCCTTGCCACATGGCTCGTGGCTTACTGGCACCTTCACATGCTGTTTCTCATCATGGCGGCTGGCAGTGTCTCTCTGACTCAGCCTTCCACTTCCCAGCTTTATTCTCCTCCTTGTCCCGCCTATACTTCCTGCCTAGCCAATGGCCAATCAGTGTTTTATTTATTGACTAATTAGCAACACATTTTCCATACAGAACATCCCACAGCAGACACCCCCAAGTGACTCAGCACACTTAGAAAAGCTTGCCCCACCCCTCACCATGGGCCTGGGAGGCAAGCTCCACTCCTCATTGAGAGGAGTTGTCCCAGCAGCCTGGACGACCAGTTCAGCTGCTCCCCAGGCACACATCCAGGCACACCCAGATATCTGTCCCATCTGTGACCTGCTGGAGTATGTAAAGGGACTGATCCTGTGGAAGCATAGTCACGGGCTCTCCATGACTCAGAAAAACAGCGGGATATCAGAGAGGAATGTCAGTGGGGGTCCAATATTGATGGTGTACCAAAGACAGAGAGAGGCCTTGAACCTGACCAACAACTCATTACACAATCAACATTTGCAAGTAAGCCTTCAGGACAAAAGGGTCTACTGTGTGACACACTGCAGGTTCCAGTGCCACTAAAATGAATGAAGGGGCAACGAGAGGTGGAGAAATGGAGGAGTGGTGTTTTTCTTTTTTCCCCCTCATTTTATTTTTATCTTATTTTTATTCTTTTTTAGCTTTCCTTTTGGAGGGGAACACTACAAGAGGGAGAAGTGGATATGGAGTCGCTGGGAGATGGGTGGGATTAAGGTGCATGATGTGAAAATCCCAAAGAATTAATAAAAAATTAAATAACAACAACCGAAAGACTCCATAGAAGCTGACTGTGGACAGGGAGATTGCCTGGATGGCTGAGATGTTCCAGAGTTATCACACAAGCCCATTCTACTTTCATTTCTATTGCTGTGGAAAAAAAAAAAACTTGACAAAAGGCAATTTGGAGAGTCAGATTACAGATAATTAGTGGGAAAGTCCAAGCAGTGGGAACTTGAAACAGCTTGTTCCATGATATCCACAGCCAAGAACAGAGAGAAATAAATGAACGTATGATCAATTACTTGCTAGCGTTCAGCTGGATTTCTCTATTCCTACACATTTCAAGATCCTTTTTCTAGACAATGGTGGTGTTGACTGGGTCTTCTGATATTAATTAATTAAAATAGTGCCTCACAGATGAATGCAGCAACAAACCCAATATATGTTCCCTTGCTTGTATCCTATTATTTTTTAATCCATGTGATCTAATTTGTACTGTCCATATCCTTCCGGGTGTGGGGTTACTCACTGCAACATGTTCTACTTAGAACAACACCTTTAAGAAAACCACTTCTCTCCCTTCTGGTAGCTACTGCTTACCAATATCATCCCATTTAAGGATGGGACTTTGTGCAAAATTCCCTTACTCATTCTGGGATTTTTGTGTGGCTTCAGTTTGCTCATATCTTGGGCATTCTGTTTCCACTACTGTGAGTTCAAATGGAAACTGCTCTGCTGTGTCTGCAAAACACTGTTATCTTGTGAAAACACCTCTAGCTCTTACAGTCATTCCCTTCTATCTCTTCTGCAATAATACCCAAGGTTCAGGAGGAGGTGGTATGATATAGAAGTCCTGTTTCAGGTGGTTATTCTAAAGTCTGATTCTCTGCAGCTTGGCCAGTTGTGAGTCTCTTTATTACTGCCATCTACTATGAAAATATGTTCACCCTTAAAATGAAATACCAATCCATTTCATGTCAAAAGAAAGACACCTCCTTAGAATTGTTGAACATTTTAGCAAAATATAAAGGAGATGTTTTGACTTATGAATGATTCCATTGACTTCTATAATAGTCTACAAATCAAAGTTATATTATTGTGAAATAAAAGTTGAAATGCTGTAGGAAATTGTGAGGGAGTCCAATGTGTACTCAGCCTTTTCAGTTGTTATAAGACTGATGATGGTGCCATTGAAGAACAGCTCTCAGTAACATAGTGAATCTGTGTCTTTGAAAGAATGAAAGAATACATAAAAATTGTGCACCAAATATTAAGATATATTTTTATTTACTCTGTGAGGTTTTCATACATATGTACAATATATTTTAATCATAACCACTTCTTTCTCATCTCATACCCCCTCTACTGTATGCCCCTCCCAACTCTACATCTTCTTTCATAAACTTATTATAACACACTAAACCAAATTATAACTGTCCATATGCTCATGTGTATGGAGGCACGCACCCATGCATGGTCAACCTACTAGGGTCCACCTATTTTAAAAAGAAAGACTTTTCTTCCACTAGCTACCATCAGCTACCTGTAGTTCATCAGCTAGGAGAGAGAACAATAATCCATTTGTCCCTCCATCCTGGAATGTTGACGGGTATGTGTTAACATTCTTGTGAGATGCGAAAATGCATCTTCCTACCCCAGATCAAGGACAGATCAAAATAAGGATACCACTAAAGTCTAATTTGGTGACCCAATGGATTTTATAGGTGTAAATTATAGGGATATGGGTGAGGGGTTACTTACAGGAACAGAAATGACTCGAAGAGCTGCATCACCAAAGTCCACCACAGCTCATGAAAGCTGAAAACCTAGAGAATACTTAACCTATAGGCAGCTCTACAGGTTGAAGAGCATCCTTTCCAGGTAGCTCCTTGGTTCTTAAGCTTCTCACAGACAGCTCTGCTAGTCCGTTCTTCTTCCAGGCTTCTCAGCTGCTCTGAGCCCCTTTAGGCAGCTTGACTTATCTGAGAGTCTTCTAGACAACACAGTTTGTCTGCAACTGTCTTGGCAGTCCTTATTGATTATATGCATGATTATAGAAGGAGAGGTCTAGTGAATCTAGTCAGTTTCATGGACTTGCTCAAGCTATTTTGAATTGTTTACTCTCTAAACTTAACTCAGCTTCCCTGCATGATGGAATATTTCACCTACCCTTAGAACATCCTATATATTCATTTGCTTGCAAACACCTTTGCTCAATGAGCTTTCCTCCAAGATTGAAGGTTCTACTCTTGAAGGAAACCGCTACACAACAGGCCTTGTAGAGGCAGCCCCAGCTGCTGTGATTTCCTGAGTGCCTGCCACACCCAGAAGACAGTTTCCATGCATCTCTCTCTAACTTCTCCTCCTTACAACCCTTTATTTGACCTCTGACCCATGGGTGTTGTTCAAATTATTAGATGCTCTACAATTATGTACCTTACCTGTTGAATGGAATTATGTACATAGGCGGAGCATAACTTAGGGATACTGTTTAGTAAAAAAAAAGAAAAAGAACTCAACACTTGTTACTCCAAAATAAATCATTCTTAAGAAGTCTCAGTTGTTTCCTGATAAGAGTGGAAGTTTCTAGAGGATTTGATCCAAGGATAGATATTTATTTAAGAAAATAAGAAATGAAAAAGTAAAACACAGATACCAGAAAGAACACTAAGCCTTGTAAAGAAAGGGATTGTATAAACAAACAATATAATGGACAGTGAAATTAGAGGAAATAGTGAGACTAAGTTTTATTACAATATATGACCAAAGACCACAATTGCTAATTCCATAACCCTAGGTTCTACAAACATGAGTACACAACTATGAAGGTAAGTCCATTGGTCTGTTTCTAGTCACCCTCCCTAAAAGTATTTTCAGAGCCTTCTTCATGTCATTGTTCCTCAGACTATAAATGAAGGGGTTCAGCATAGGGGTGACCACAGTGTACATCAATGAAGCCATTGCAGTGGCACGTGGGTTCTGGGTCATAGCAGAACTGAGGTACACTCCCAGGAGGGTGCAATAAAATAAAGAGACAACAGAGAGGTGAGACGCACATGTGGAAAATGCTTTGTACTTCCCCTGAGCCGAGGAGATTGCACGTATGGAGGACACTATCTTGGAGTAAGAGTAGAGGATGCCAGAGAGGGGACCCACAGCCAGTAACATGGCTGCAATATAAATCACCATGTCATTAAGAGAGGTGTCAGAACAGGCATGGTGTACCACCTGATTGAGTTCACAGTAAAAGTGAGGGATGTTCAGGTCTGTGCAGAATGACAACCGCAGAACCAAAAAGCTATGTAACAAGGAATTCAGAACACTTATGATCCAGCATGCTAGAATCAGCAATCCACAGCGTCTTGTGTTCATGATGATCATGTAATGCAGGGGGTGACAGATGGCCACATAGCGGTCATAGGCCATCACAGTCAGCAAAAAGATGTCCAGTACTGAAAAAAGTAGTAAGAAGTACACCTGAGTGATGCAGTTCACATAGACGATAACTTTGCTCTGTGTCTGGATATTTACCAGCATCTGGGGGACAGTGGTGGAGGTGAAGCAGATGTCCACAAAGGACAGATTGGAGAGGAAGATGTACATGGGTGTATGAAGGTGGGAGTCTACAGTGATGGCCATGATGATGAGTAGGTTGCCAAAAACAGTCACTAGGTACATGGAGAGGAAAAGTCCAAATATAAGAGGCTGAATCTGAGGTTGATTCTCTGAAAATCCCAGAAGAAAGAATTCTGAAAGCTGAGTATCATTTCCTTGTTCCATGTGTTTGATATGCCTACCAAAAGAAGAATTGGGAAAGATAGATTCAGTCACCTATCAATAAGCTAACATCAATGCTTCTTCCTCCTTTCTTCTTCCTCTCTCTCTCTCTCTCTCTCTCTCTCTCTCTCTCTCTCTCTCTCTCTCTCTCTCTCACCCTCCAGTTCCTCTTAGCTGAATTAGCTCTGGTCATATATTCATGGGGTGCTCACCAGGACAGGGTCTTTGTCAACCTACGAGGGGACACACCTCTAAAAATAATGAACTCTCTTCTCCATCAGTTACCAACTGCTAATGTCTCCTCGGTCAAGATTGAGGCCTTATGAAGCCTTTTCTCTTCCACTATAGAGTGTTGACTAGTTTGATCTTTTGCAAGTCTTGTATAATCATCCACAGCTGCTGTGAGTTTATAAGGACCCTGCTGTGTTCAAAAGGCATGCTACCAGAGGCGACCCTTCCAACATTCTGTCTCTTACTCTTTCCATTCCTCCTTTCACGCTGTTCCCTGAACACTTTGGTCTAGATGTCTCATTTTGGACTGAACACTTTGTAGGTGTTTATTCTCCACACTCTGACAAATTGTTGGTTCCTATATTATCCTCTATCCACTGGAAACAGATGCTTTTTGATGAGGAGTGAGAGCATCACTCATCTATCAACATAGATATAAATATTTAGGTTCATTTTTATATTACACACATTTAGCAAAATGATAACTGGGAGTTCTCCCCAGGGGCCTATGAGCTCACAAAACTATGGGTTCCTGGCCAGATAACTTTTATTTTAGGTGTGTATCTACTACTATGGAACCTAGTAAGCCTTGCCTTCTACAGTCATGATATTTATTTATATGTTTTATATTTATCCCACGAAGAGAGTCCTGGTGTTATCTCTGAGTAGAAATTTCTGTGCTATATTCAGTCTGTGCTCAAAGATCTCATATTAAAAAAATTAATATCTATCACCCATCTGTCCTGTGGTGGCATGAGTGGAGGAGAGGTGCACTCCTTCCACCCCTCCCCCTGCCCATCAATGCCTGAGGCAGGTGTGAGAACTGGCCCTGAGATCACAAGAGCAGGAGAGCCGCCTTGCCCCCAACCAGCTGCAACCCTTGGGAGGGCAGGCCCTGCACCTCACCTGGGTAGCACAATAGAATAAACCGACTTTATTGGTAGAGGTGTGGGTGAGCCAACCTTGAAGTTGAAAGATTGGGAGAGCTGTCCCCACTACTCATCTGTAATGCGGCGGTGTAGGAGGGTGAGACATGCCCCCTTTTGCCCCTTGCCCCTTATAGCCTACAACAAACAAGAGAGCCGATCCTTCCCCTTACCACTTGTAGCACTCAGGGAAGTGGGCCCTGCCCCTCACCTAGGCAGCACAGCAGAGTTCCCCAGTGGTCAGAGGTAAGGGTGACCCAGCCCTGCTGTTGTGAGCAAGGAAGAGTTGTCCACATTACTCATCTGACATGGTGGCAGCTCTCCCCCATCCCCACCCAATACCTGAGACAGGTGGAGGAGTTAGTCCTGGGGTCATAATTGTGGGAGGGCTGTCCCTGACCCTCACTTGGGAGAGTGGCCCCTGTACCTCACCTGAGCAACACAATAGAACTGGCCCTGAGGGTATAGGTATGGGAGAGCTGACCCTGAGGATGTGAAAGCAGGAGAACCCGCCCAACACCTTGCTCATTTCTGCAAGAGGTGAATTACCAGGAGCAATGCTGGAGAGCTCACCCTGTTGGGGAGGACAGGAGAGCACTTGCAGGCAGACCAACCCTGCAGCTGCCCAGGCCCAGAAACAGGGTTGTGACTTGGCCCATCCTGCCATCCACCCCATCTATGAATTGCTTAAGTCATGAAGGGACTTGACCCACAGGCCCAAAGCTACAGCATCTCTGCAACACAAAGCAACAACAGGATATCCATCTAGTGAGGACCCAGCATTGATAGTGTAGTAGAAACCAGAGGCTTCAAACTAGACCAATGACTCTTTGCAATGAACACTTGCAAGTGTCCAGTTGTGTAGCTTCACTGAAACCACCAGAATCCAATGGATAACTCAAAACCCATGATCACACAGATTGACATACTAAAACACAGATTGACATACTGAAAGTTGTTCAGCCATAGAATAGCAACAACAACCAGAAAAAAAGACATAGGTATAGGAAAAGAACTCTACTGAGAAGAGCAAGCGCTTGCAGAAGGAGGGGGACAGGAGAGGGTGAGGGACAGTAAACACTACACACATGTAGAAAATTCCAGTGAACAAAGTTTATCAATATACAAGGTGTTCTCAGTGTTCCTGCATAGAATCTTGCACCAGAACACTAGGCCAAATCTATCTTACACAAACATACTTCCTCTAATTAATCTCAGTGGACACCAGATAACCTCATCACACCCTGCTCCCATGATAGTTTTGCATCAACATGTCATGCTATCTTTAATAGTGTATAATTGGCTCAGATGTACATTTATAATTCTGTGTCATATGAAGATATATAAATCACATATGTTTATGCAACTTAAACTTCACTTGAATGTAAATCATGACTTAATTGAGAACCCAAAGTCCTAAGACTTGTTGAAAGAGACCTCTCCAGAAAGGCAAAGCCCAGGCCTGGTAACAGATCTACAAGCATAGTTACCAGGAAGGCTAAGGCAGGAGGATCACAGGTTTAAGAGATAAGCTATGAACATCTTCAATTTTGTCCATCTGTCTGTAACTTTGAGCTGCACATTTGTGTCATTCCTGGCTGTAAAGTGAGGTCAGGATCAGACTGAATGACCTCATCCCTGACTGTAAAGTGAGGTTGAGTCTAGCCTGAATGACTTACTGAGACTCTGTCTCAAAGGGTTTTATAACTCATTGATGGGATATTTTCCTGGGATATATGAGGCCTTGGACTTAATACCAAGTGCAAAATTATAAAAGACCAAAGGTACAGCAAGGATAAACACTCATAGAAATGAAGTGATGGTATATAACAGGCTATTAAGTCACTCACATTCTGCTGGGGCAGGAAGACATTGAACATGTGAACATTAATAACAGTGAAATAAGCTAGTGACAAATACAAACAGCACATTTTCTTTTATATATATCCATAATCCAGAATTTAAAATGCCAGAATAGTAGAATGAAGAGCAATGGGGAGTGGTAATAGGATATCAAAAGTGAGGGTGGAGTTATGAGAATGACGAACATGATCAGGGCACATTCTATACATGTATAGACACGTCAGAGGTGGAACCAGTATATTATATAATTGATATTTCATGAAAAGTTGGAACAATTAGGAGGACAGACTATGTCTATCAGACTGGATATTAAAAAACTACATAATTTCCTCCCAAAAATACACACACACACACACACACACACACACACACACACACACACACACACACACACACAATGGAATATCAACAAGAAAAGTTGGTGGGAAATCCAATCTGTACATATGAAAGAATTCTATTTTTATGTGTAATAAACACATTATTCCTACTCAATAAATTCAAAGGATATGCATCATTTGCAATAGAGAAAGTAAACAGGTAAGAAAGTCACAATAATTTTTTTTATTCATCAGTAACGAAATGATTGCAGGCAATCTTTCTAATATACCCTTTCCCCCTTTTTAATGTGACTATGTTACATGAAGAAAGGCACCAACAAACTATAAAATTCATGAACTCTTGCAGTGCTGCAGACGTTATTCATCAGGATCCTTCTTATTAACATGACATTATATTAATTTTAAAAATAAAAAGGCATGAAGTTATTTTAGTTAACTTTAAAACCAGTGCTTTCTGTCTATACATTCCATAATATCCAGGATCTGGAAACATAAGTTCTAATTTATATGGAACTATTTTATGAGATCATCAAACCATCCTCTTATGATTAGCCTTACAAAACTATCACTTACAAATTAATTCTCACCCCAATTACTGAGTTCAGTGGATTCTTCTCTTTCCAGCTTCATAAATCAATATCTTGCAGGACCAACCGGAAAGCCTCCCTTGCATATCCCTGTTTTGGCTAGGTTAACTTTGCTCTCATGTACATTTTCCGTTCTCCTGTTTTCTGACCTCTTGCTGCAAGAGCAGCAGAGCTCCAGGTCTCACCTGGATTGACCTCTGGAAGGTAGGTCTGTGCATCAATGCCCCAACTCCCCTCTGAATGGCTGATGATGGAGAACTGAAGCTGTACTTGGCACATGAAGCAGGACAGAGAGCAGTATTAATCCCCAGCCAGGGTCAGGACTTCAAAATGAGAAAATTAATGTGTAGCTCTAGTTTGCAAATCAGAAGGACTACACTGGGGAGACACCCAAAGTTGACAGCAGCTTCTCCTTTGAGAATATTTTCCTCCTGTTATTCCAGCCCCTAAGCACATGATCTCCCCATGGGACATTGCTCTGCACAGAAAGAAAATTGTTCCTAAAGATTGCCTGTTCTCAAAAGAGTAGGCTAAAAACCCAGGTGACTGACTAGTCATCGTTCATTCCCCATGAACTCTCCTGCTTTAACCTCCTATCAGCTTACTTCATCCTGAATTAAGGTTTCAACCAAAGTCTAAAGCGAAGAAAGTTGTGTTAAATATGTCTCAGGTCACCAAAGCATTGTATTCCATTGGTGGCTTCAGAAACACATAATTCTCCTGTTCATCAACAGGAAGAACTCTTTTCTCTTGATTTGAGACCATGTGTTGTAAGTCAATTAGCTTCCTTGTGTTTTTGGTAAAACGATGAGGGGTGTATTCCTCATTAGGCCAGGAGAAAGAAATAAATTTAAGTAATTATTCATGAGTCATCTGATAATCATGATGTGCATTTAGATTCCCTTGTACAATTTCTGATATTAACCACCTACTAGGAGTCTCTTGATAATTTTTGAGTCCACTTGAGTAGTTGGTGGAAACTTAGTACAGTAGAAACTCCCTGGAATCTATGAGGATGACCCTAGTGAAGACTCCTAGTAATGGAGGATACAGAGCAT